AAATCCACCCCACCCCAATCCAACCATAAAAAGAAGAAAGAGAGAAGATTGTTATTCCAAGAATTTTAAGAACATTAGACATGGGATTGTATCAATCATGTTGTATTATCCTATGTTTTATGTTCTTGATTTTGAAACCTAAATTATCATATTCCATGTCATGTACATCACAAAAGTTTACAAAGAACAGATTATATGAACATTGCAATGACTTACCACATTTGAATTGTTACATCCATTGGGATTACAATTCCAAGGATTTTACCTTAAATTTAGCCTTTGTAGCTACTCCCACTAAACCTAATGGTTGGATTGCTTGGGGAATTAATCCAAATTCAACAGGAATGGTTGGTACACAAGCGTTGATCGCGTTTAAACAATCCAATGGTTCCATTATCGCGAAAACGTTCAAGTTGAATTCGTATAAATCCATCGTGCCCGGGGAGCTAGTGTATCGCGTTACAAATATGGAGGCTATGTATAGTAATGGAATGATGGTAATTTTTGCTAGTATAAAATTACCTGAAGGAATGATAGAATTGAATCAAATATGGCAAGTAGGAAGTTCAGTCTTGAATGGGACATTCCCTGGAATTCATGATTTTCAGCCTGAAAATTTGAATTCCAAGGGAAAACTTGATTTGATGGAAGGGAAGAGTATAAATGGTCCTGAGGATTCTAGGCTCAAGAATAGAAATGTAAGTTCTTCAATAATTACACATTTTATTTCATTTTTTTTTTTCTAACGACAGTATCCAGATCAGTTTGCATGCACTTCTATTGTTTCATCAGATACCTGTTATCTCCCACGAGCACGAGGTTTTTTCATCGAAGTTCAATCTACTAGGATTTGAACTTTGGTCACCTATGACTTTTACCCCACTTTAACAACCACTAGAGTGCCAAGAAATACCAATTTCATTTGGTTTGTTAGTTCAATCTTTTTTTTTACATTACATTCTCTCGAAGCAAAGGCGGACCCAGGATTTTAACGTGATGAACGTACAATATTTTGTTCAATCAGTGGCCCCTAAAGGCTTTTTGCATTTAGCGCGCCAAGCGATTTAAATCAACTATTTTCAAGGTATACATACATATATATACAAGATTTCTGCCGAAGTTTACAGGGTCCAGTGACCCCACAACATAACACATAGATCTCAACATAACACATAGATCTGCCTCTACCTTGAAGTGCAGTCTTTTCTCTCAGCCTGTGAAAATACGGGATGCTTCATGTTCCGGGCTATCTCTTTTTTTTTTTTTTTAATAAAATATTTTCTGATATTTGAATTTATGGTGAACAGATTCATGGAATTCTGAATGTTGTGAGTTGGGGAATATTATTTCCAATTGGAATTATGATTGCAAGGTATCTAAGAACATTTGCAGATCCAGTGTGGTTTTATGTTCATGTGGCTTGTCAATTATCATCTTATACTATTGGAGTTGCTGGTTGGGCAACTGGTCTGAAACTTGGAAATCAATCTAAAGGAATTGAATATACTTCCCATAGAGATTTTGGTATTGCCTTATTCTCTCTTGCAACTCTTCAGGTATACTTTCACATTAAAATTCTTTAACTTTTTTATCTTTAGTTTCTTTAATTTAAAGGAGATTATCAACTTTTGGATCTAAACTAAAAAAAGAATTAATCCAAATAGTTGCCAACCTAATCTGTTAAACTAAAAATAGCTGGCACATATATTATTTATATATAATTCATGTATAATATATGTATAATTAATGGATAATCTATGTATACAGACTAGAAAAAGTAAATATTGAATCTGACTGGCTATTTGTGTAATAAATCCCTAAAAAAGGGGCAAGTGCATAGATAACCATTTTCAGGAATACTGTTTTAGAAATTAGCCATTACTTTTTTTCATGAAATTTTAAATTAAAAATTTCAACTTCAGGACAATTCAGGACACTTTTGTCCCGAAAAATTGAACTGAAAAACTGCAATTTAATACGAACTGGCTAATTCATAAATATTAGTCATTTAAAGTGGCTACATGGTGTCATTTCTACACACAAAAAAAAATATGGCAAACCCCCACTTGTAACTGAATCATGAAGATCAATTTAGATTATAGGGACTGTTTTTATTTACTTATAATGGAAATATTCGAGTCAGTTTGTGTACATTTCAACTATTCCACTAGGTATCTGCTTTCTTCCACCAGCATAGATAGGTAATGCGTAACTCTACTAGCTAAGAGTTACGCATATGAGAATAAATTAACTAGCATTTTTTATTTATATTGAAATTATTTGAATCCTGATCCCATAATTTTCACGTAAAATTGTAGGTGTTCGCCCTATTTCTGAGGCCAAAGAAAGATCATAAGTACAGATTTTACTGGAATATGTATCACCATGGAGTTGGATATGGTGTACTTGTTCTAGGAATCATCAATGTGTTTAAAGGTCTTGAGATTTTGAAGCCAGAAAGCAAATGGAAATTGGCTTATATTATTTGCCTTTCAATTCTTGGAGGAATTGCTCTTATTTTAGAAGCCGTTACTTGGACAATTGTACTTAAAAAGAAGCCTGGAAAATCAAATAACAAGCTTTATGATGGCCAAAATGGTTCAAATGGAAGACAACAACCTCTCACTTCTTGAAGTAGTTCTCCCTGCGCGGATCCAGATTTAATCAGATTCCAATATCGAATACCGAACTCCAGATGAAAAACCAAAAAACAAAGAAGTAGCTCTCTCCTACACATGTCTATAGTACAAGTCTGAAAATGATTTTCTGGGTGCGGTCCTTCTCCACACGCTGTGTGAATATGAGACGTTTCGTGTATCGAGTTGTCTTTTCCCTATATATTGTATTTGTTTTCATGTGGTTAGCTGAATTTTAATTAATTTATTTATTTTGGTTAGGATTGTAATTTATTTTGATATTTTCTTCTTGTGTAGAAGCCATGCTCTGTGAGAGTATCTTTTGTTATTTTTTTCTTCTTTTTAATATTTATTAAATGTATGAAATGATTGGAGTTTAGTTGCAAATATAGCAATCTTTAATTTCTAACTGTTCTTTAATTTCCTAAAATATAATAGTCACTTTTCTCTGTGATCTTTGATACAAAATCAAAAGCAGAATTATCTTGCAAATGTAAAATGCTAATTAAGATAGGAATTTTACCGACGGATAACTATTAAAATTCTAGTATTTTCAGTTAAAAGTCTTATGCCCCAAATTTTCTTTTCGAAACTAATTCAGTTCTTTTGATTTTCTAGTTTTTCCTAATTAGATTTTTCTTTTTCAATCTTGTTTTTTTCTTGGAAATAACTAATAATTTATTTATTTCAGTTTATGGCGATCCTATTTTCTTTTTAGTATGTTAAATATGATTCTTTTCTAAATTCAAAAATAAATTAACTTACATTTTTTATTATACTTTTAATAGAAAACTTTTATAATCATTAAAATATTACTATGATACATTTAAAATATTCCAAAAGTGTTTTTTTATTTTCTTAAACCCCGTCAGCTAAACAAATTACACCAACCAAAAATTCAGGGTGAAATTAAAAAATAGCCAAATTTACAAGTGATAATTGAAAAATAGCCAAAGTTTCAAAAGTAATCGAAAAATTTAGCCACTATTCATGTAAAGATAAATCTAAACAACAAAACTGTTCCAAATCTGAAAATATTCCAGCATAATATGCTGGAGTTCGAATTTTTTACATGTGAACTTCCAGCATAACATGCTGGAATTTCATAATGTGTTGGAGTTCTGATCTCCAGTATATTATGCGGGAACTTTCCGTGTTGCAGTAAAATAATAGCTATTTTTTGATGACTTTGCAAATGCTGACTATTTCTTAATTACCAATTCGAAAATTGACTAGTTTAACAAAAATTCACATGCAAACTTCTTTGCTTTTCTTTTTTCTTTACGTTATCATAGTTCATAATTCGTGCCTAAGTTTGTACGTCAAAAATAGAAGAATTAATTACCACGCTAATAGGTTTTAGGGGCTAGGTGAAAGTGTAATTACACCTATGAAACCTCAGTTGTAGCTTCTGTAGTTGGTAATACTGAACCTAATAAATAACGTAAAACATAATTGTGTATTTCTGCAATTGATTGTTCTGATGCTAAGCAACCCCTATTTCCAATCGAGAGGTTGTGAGTTCGAGTCTCCCTAAGAGCAAGGTGGGAAATTATTGAAGGGAAGGATGCCGGGGGTCTATTTGGAAACAGACTCTCTACCCAAAGGATAGGGGTAAGGTCTGCGTACACACTATCCTTTCCAGACCCCACTAAATAGAATTATTATACTGGGTTATTGTTGTTGTAGTACTTGTAGACAATAAATTTCGTCAAGAAAATAAAATCAAGGCCGAAAATATCGCAACAATCGTAG